AAATCACGGCAAGCATGGTACATTGCATTGTCTTACCTTCTGTTTCGTTTTTTATCTTTCAGTTGTCAGGAAAATGGATAAATCTTATGCGAGCTTTCAAAAAACTCGATAAGGACAACAAAGATTTTCTCACGCTTCAAGAATTCCGTCACGTGTTAGAGCTGTGCAACGTGGTGCTGGATGAGGAAGATATTTATCACATTTTAACAGAGTTTGACGAAAAGGACGGCGATCAGATAAGATACACAAAGTTCTTAGACAAGATTAAGTGACATGTCACTACTAGCGTGCCACACTTGTGTGTACTATCAGCAAATAATTATTTGTACAGTTTTAAAATTAGAACTTGTTACAAGATTGTATAAATGTGAAACGTCGGCTAAAGAGAGCAAGAAATACTGTGGTCCATATTAATGTTCTCGACTGGAACTACAATGGACGTCAAGAGTGTTGAGACACTTGGCAGTGAAATTCGATTTCCGTGCGTCTTGGACAAATTTTCTCCCCTTCCCCCTGAAACAATGTTGATTTTTCTGTTTCTTAAACTGCACAGACCACAGCGCCTACACAACATTGAATTTGGGGACCGGGGGTATCAGAGAATTAATGCTAAATGCAAATAAAATAGAATAAGTGCTTAAATATTTGAATTTGAAGAGACTCCCCAGATTAACCTCAGTTGCATGCTAGTTCCAGTCCAACACCGAGAATACGAAAATGGTCTACACTGTATCATCAGACCTTATCCCAAGGGAAAAAATTATTGCTTTTGGCGCTGGAGTCCTGCAATTTCATGTGAAAGTTTTCGTGCTGTAATTGTGACACGAAACAAAACAGGTTTCGCCAAGAATTACTGGTTGTGACTTGTTTTCTGCAGCTGTGAAGCGTTGGATATTGTTCGACAACTGTGAACGATAAGAGTAGTTCACATGGTCCGAAACTACAAGAAGGCAGTTTCGGCGCTACTACTCTTAAACCACTCCAGGTCACTCAAACAAGCATGCGCATTCGCGAAGAAACTTTTTAACTATTTAAACAGATCTCTTATGAATCATAATTTTGGTTACCCCTTATAGAATCAAACAAATAGTAGTTCTAATGAAAACTTGAAAAATCCTTTACGGTAAATAGGAAGCAATAAATCGAAATGATCTCGCGCCTATGCCTTGAATTAGTTCCATTCATTACTACCTTTATAGAAAACTATTTCAAAGCAGGACGTTTCACTTGCAATCTAACCGTGTCATTTACATTTATTAAATTCATTGTTAACGTTTATATTAAAATTCCATTTTAGTTGCACAGTGTATAAAATTTTTTTTGCCTTATAGATTTTTTTTAATTTCCCTGTACAAGCTCGTAAACGATATCTGAGCCCAGACTGTATCCATCAGACAATGAGTCTTATTATTACAGCTGTATTGTGAGGGCGTGGCTTCGAATCTTGTCCGGCGAAGTATCGGAGTTTTCCTGAGCGTTTTTTTGTCACGGAAAGAGTGTTTTTCGTGACTACGGAAAGTTACAGAAGAGTCCATTCTTCATAGTTTTCGTGACTGAATACTGATCACTCACTAACTATAGAGAGGGTCTGAATGGGGTTAACCGACTAGCGACAAAGGGCGAAAAATATTACTGACTGCCGACAAAACCAGGAAAAAATTACCGACTAGCAACTAAACAATTAACTGAGATTTATCGACAACCGTCAAAGGTCGAAAATTTTAGCCGAGAACCGACAAAGTAATGAAATTTTAACCGACATTCGACATGTGGACCCCCACCGCCCATTCAGACCCTCAACTACGACTACTACGCCTGCAAGATGTAAAGAAAATTCATCGAGCCCGAGGTCAACCGAAGTATCCCGAAGGATCTCGTCGGTTCGGCTGCATCTGTCCTCGTTTTGCTGGTGAAGTATTTGGAGGTCGGTTTTGTTTTGGAGGTGAAGCAGGACCTTTATTTCTAGTTCACTCTTATCATTCAGGTTCATGGCCTAAAACCTGATAACACACAATTTTGGCCTTTATTGCTTTTCACGCGGCTTTAATCCGCTAAACGTTTCTCAGCGCTTTCTACTTTCTTTAACTTTTGCCGCCCTTTCCACCTGTTGCAAGT